CAGAAATGATTACGTTTCCTCCCCCCCCCCAAATTGCCTCCTGTTTCATTTACGGATGAAAGCACGTTCAATGAGAGAAAAGGGCTTTTTTGAAATGCAGTAAACTGACGAAAAAGACACTGCGCTCAGGTAAAGACAGTCTAGATCTCGGTCCTCTTGCCCCATTACCTTTTTCACATCCATTCGTCCGTTCGATTTTTTAAATCCGTAGAATGTCTTTAACAAGTTCAAATTAATGCATGACTAAAACATAGAATCCGTAGTTTAAACAAATTTTGGATTGTGGAACTCATGACGCCTTATTTGGATTTACACAAAAATATCCGTTGAAGCAAACATAGTTTTTTCAAAGAGTGCTTGGGTTGTACTCATACGTTTCCTGTGTAAGGATGATAGCGGGTCTGTTAAGGTGAGGAATGACGGCGGCTGTCGAAATGGTCTATAGTAATACCTTTCGCGAGCACAAAATGTCCTCTTTTCCCATACGTTAAACGATTGGACGATGAAATAATTCTTGACCGTCTTAAGTAGGCGGAAAGGATATAAGTACTGTTAAAATAAGTTAGTAGCATGTACGCACCAAGGGGCGTTAGAAGTTTAAATTCTTATTCCTAAACAGTCTTCGAAGCTCTTTCAAAACGACTAAATGTAACAATTATAAAAGTTATCCTACATGCATCCCATAAACCAACTTGAGCCTAAGTCACAGAAAATATATGATTCAAGATAATGTTCAATTCCCCGTCTTTAACATTTAATATTCACGATGTGTCAATCGAGTATAGTCGAGACGTCGCGTTTGAATAATTCTTTATCGCAGGAATAATGTTGTTAGACCACTTTTTCTGTATCATCACCGCAAATTGAACGATTCCTTTAAAAAACGTCCCTGTACTGCGACTTTAATTTTTCGCAGAGTCATAGTTAGTTTACTGCTGACTTCGTGGAAAAAGCATTACTTCTTCGGGTCTTATAGATGGATCCTAAATTTTAATCTTGTTCCCAATGAAGATGAAAACAAATTATGCGATGTACGTGTAAATCACTTATGGACTAGCCAGTCCGATCTTATGCAGGGCACACATTGAACACGTTAGTAGGCGTATTTATCCAAAGGTAGAACTGAGCTCTACTTATAACAACGTTTTATATAAAGCGCCGGTAGAATAGTTTCAATGTTATTATTTATTTAAAACAAGTATCCATTTTGTATGATCTATTTTAATAAGATACTTTGGACGGCACTGCCCCCCCCTCAAGCAACGCAACGGTTGGCTACTAAAGGTACTAAATAATAAATGCAATTAATCTAGAGTCACCGGTTTCCTGTCTTTATTTATGAATAAGGAACTGGATGCGATCTAATAAACTAATTTATTTGCCGAATTCAACCTGCAGTATTGGCCACTTTAGTCCCATATAATGATAAAAGAAAACAAATTTTTGACCGGAATTTTCCTCGTCCTGTTATTCGGAGCAAAATACCTTCATGAAGGTTTTATCTTCCTGCAGTATTGGTAAGCAACCATTCAGAATTTGTATTTATTCGGGGGAGCACACAATAGAACTCCTGAACCTGATTAATTGAATTATCTCAGAAATCTGTGCAACCATAAAAGAACCCGTTCTATCCTGAGAGATTTTATGGAAGGAAGAGAAGGCAGAGCAGGTTTCTCGGAAAGAAGCAACTTTATGCTAGGCCTGCAGCAACATCCGATTTCAAAGCTTGTCAACTCTCGTTGGTTTAGGCAGATAGTATCGCCGGCAAAGACAAGGGAGACTGGAATGATAACTTCTGACCTATTAGCCGTCGTCAGCCAGTCGTATCCAACGACTAGTGGTGCACCAACCGAGGCTCGAACTCGCGACATTTTGAACAGAAGTATAATGCTCTAACCTTTTAAGCGAGAAGGTCGGTGTCTTGCCGGTCGTTCATCAACGAGTGTCATGCTTATTTATCGCATTTATTGCCGTTCTCGTATATTTCGCCCAGTGGCAGGTCACGAGCGTTCTGTAACATATTGGCCAACAGCGTGTCTCACTTTGAGTAGTATTTTCTGACGCTTTAACCCCCTTACGGAAACCTCTCGAATATTTGGGCCGCACACGTCAGTGCAATTCGAGTACGAATCGATGCCACAGAGCGCGCTGATTAGCTATCTGGTTGCCCACGTTTATCTGCTGGCTGGCTTAGCTCGTTACGGCGCGTATGGTTACGTATTATTTTAGCCTTAGGCCACAGGGACATTGCGATTCCTATCACGTTAACAGAACTAATTATTTTATCGTCTCGCGCTGGACTTGAGTTCGTTCAGGCTAACTATAATATTTCAATCTATTCTACTCGCGCTTGTATAGCAGTTATTAATTTGCTTTGTTTTTTCTTCCATTGGCGCTTTGTGGTTTCTGTAAGGTAGTATTTATGACTTGCAAAAATACCCAGGTATTCGCCTCCCAAAATTTCACTTCACAGCTAATGCGGTGATAGCAAAGCAACCTACAGACCAAGAATTTATTCCTGATGGAATGTGCTTTTTAATGTAGCGCACTACTGTTTGCAGTTTATAGAACTCATTTTACAATGTACATTCAATTAACTTCCACGGTACTTTCAGTGTACTAGAATGATATGTCTTTCGTCACCTTTACCTTTTCTGCCATGAAACGAGTGCAACCTAGATGATATCGCATTAGCTCCGACTCCTCCTGCCTTTGATGAACTTGTCTGCTGTGAGCGTTTCGTGAGCGTTTCATTCTGCAGTTTTACCGAATAAGAACGCGTAAATTAAAAACGGAGAAATTCATTGGTAGAAAATCGGTTACGCTACGTGTGGTGCTCTTGAAGACAGACTGGCGAATCTAGGACAAATTGGCACGTATTTGTCTACTTGCACACTTCTCTGAGGTGTATTTTTGCATGTTCTAGGTAAACAAGAGCAATATTGCATACACATTCCATTTCATAACTCGATAGAATTATGTTTCAGGAATTTTGGATAGTTCTAACTTTTGCAAGCCCCTATGCAATTTTATCAGAATAGTTCATACTTCAGTCATATTGTCAAAAAGGTTTAATGTGTATAACATGTCAATCAGTTCGAAGAATCTGAGGCTGGTATTTGTGAGGTGGTATATTTCAGTTCGTGCGCACGTCCCTAGCAGACACTCTGTCAATCGGAAATCCAGAAAAACCACACGCTTAAGACGCTTTTAGGTTACCACTACATCAAAGACTTTGCGGTAAGTCTTCAAATCAATGTTAGCTGCCTTGCATTCCCTTTCTGGTATAATATCATAATACTAACATTCATTGATGAAAGTTAATATATATCGCTATTGGAAGTTACTCGTTCGGCTGCTGGCTACTGGCGACTAATCAGCCAGAATACCCATTTCCGTTTCGATTGCCCTGATACGAGGGTTTTACCTTATCTTCAGCCCAAGTTTCATCATAAGGGTATGTAAAATTCTATTTTCAAAGTGTTGTGTTTAACTCGTACATAAGAACTGGCTTGACAAATTCTTTTTTTCGAACGCACCATTATACGTGTAGGTCAGTTATGTTCCTTGCTGATGTTTACTTGAAGGGATTTTTAACGAAACAAAATTGTGTTTTATCGTTTCAAAATGTCTTTAATGTCCAAACGTATATTGGCATCTTTTTGAGTGAAGTGGAAAAATTCTGCTCAGTAAAGATAACTGAAAGAAGTTTACAGAATGAAGTTGATGAAAAATGCAATCTTGTAGACACGGGTAAAGACAAAATAAACGGCAGCATCCGGAGTCACTCTTCAAATCTACACTCACTTGCGATGAATCGGGATCAAGCACAAGTTCTTCAAAAGTATTAATTAGTTTAATGGTTTTGGTATTATTTAATGGTATGCTAACCTGACATATCCTTTCTCCTATTTCAATAGGCTGAGACTCAGCGAAATGTCCTGTGATGGTGGAATATACAACCTCACATCGAACATCTCTAGTCCCCAAAATTCTACTCTGGGGTACTGTCTGAAACATCGCTACTGGCCCATCTATGTGGCATCCATACTGGGAACATTTTTTGGAGGTCTCTTCCTCATCCTCATTTATCATGGTATTGTTAAATTACTTATCTGCTGTTCTAACCGGAAGGCCGAACACGATGCATATTCCAGCTCCTCCTCTTCATTCCCGGACGCCACGCCTATCCCAAATGGCGATTTCGCTGTGTTCAGCCGTGATGACCATGGGAACGCTGGTCACAAACCCGTAGCCCTGCAGTGTACCCAGAGTCTGAGCCATTTCGGGCATCGAATTCGGCTATGTTCCATCCATTTAGTGAGTTATCAGTGGCCCATTGGG